ATTAAAAGCGCTTTGGCTTTGTCTAGCTTCCCAACTCATCTTTCACATTTATCTGTGTTTCCTTCTGTTTGTCCATCTGTCTGTTATTCTGTTTGTTGAAGTCGATCCAGTACATTTCCATATCATCTGACATCTCAACAAATACTATCCTTTCTGTCGTTTTCTCATTCTTACTGCACATAGCAATATATGATACCGGTCTCTGTTACCAAGTGACTTAAAAGTGATTTACTCCTTACCTGCATTTTCACCTGTCACTAAATGAAAATGTCGCAGGTGAGATTTTATTTTTACCAGGATTTGCAACCGTCTTGTGGATTGTGCAGATGTCGATCACTTCATTGTGGGGTGTGGATTATGACTTAACAAGAAAGTAAACACTAAGATTATATCTGGTGGGGAACTCCCCCTAAACATGCTCATCAATCAAAAGTTGTAAAAATAAATAAACCAATCGGTGCACTTTTTGAGGAGAAACAGGAACTGTGTGGGTGAAAGGTAATGCTGTCATAAAAGTTTTGTATACTTATATTGTGTAGGATCGGAGAGCTAAGTCTGCATTACAGGTGAAAATATGACAGGTAAAAATCTCTGGTGAACTTTTGAATTCTATTTGATCATGTAGAATTTTGATTTCAATTTTTTTTTCATTTTATGAAAATATGCTGTTTTTTTTTTTATTCAAATGTTAAGAAATATGTGTGTATTATTTGAATGACAAATATCTCAAAGAGACACTTCTGGACAAGGTATAGACCATTGAGAAAAATTCTATCCAGATATAAAGTAAATGTGTATTAGTTTATATCATCAAGTCTAGAAAGCAACTAAAAATCATCTGGTAAAAATCTTTAGAATATTGAACATTAACAAAAAGAGTTTTATTTGAATAATGGACATCATTGAAATTTGAAAGTGTTTTAATCAAAATGATAATTAGAATCTGAACAGCAATATAAATATTAGTCATGGGGAAATTTAAATGATGACATCATGGATCGGAAGGTTCGGGAATATTTGTTTACCGTTATATTTGTTGGAGCGCTTTGGCTTTGTCAACCATTACTTTTATCAACAACCATTACTTTTATCAGGTAAGTGTATATACAGTGTTTACAGGTAAATTTAGGATAAGGTAATCTACCAGTATAACAGTGACGTGTGACGGTGACGTACTTGTCATTAGTAAGATAAGATGGTCGTACGAGCTACACCACGCATCCGTCAGCCGTAAACTGGTACGTCATGCCGCTACATTAAAGGTCACACGAAGGTCGTAGGAGGAGTTACGTCACACCAAGGCGGCGTGTTTGACATTACCTTAATTCGTGCGTTAGAAAATTTCAGGTAATTAATTATGCTATGATTATTTGCTGAATAATGGTTTTGGTTTTGTAATGAAACATTTTACACCGATGTTTGTTTCACCAAAATTTAAGTGTTGGTTATTTAGTACTCATCATCCCTTTCTTCAGGTCTCTCTTTAAATCATTAATATCAATTTAAATTTAAACATTTTTTGGGGGGTATTTTGTCATCATTAAGATATCTTCTGTTCAATGCACAGTCTAAAAGTCTAAAATGTTTTATTAGATTTGTCTGCTCTTTCAAGCATAATTTTAGACCTCTGCAGTTATCTGCCCTTGATTTTTTTATTTTTTTTCTTTTAAGCAATTGTATTTCCCATAAATGTTAGTTGTAGGATCTTGCAATTTTTGCATCACCCATACAACTCACAGCTGTTATTTTCTTTCAAATCCATTTTTAGGACCAGAAAACATTAATATGACTAGAGTTATCTGCCCTTTTAGGTTTGATGCAGGTTGTCTACCCTCAAAGTAATGCATTACCTGTACAGTTCTTATTTTGAACCTCTTTAAAAAAAACTGTTGCTGAGCCTCAACCAGAAAATGGCGTGCTAGAGTTGTCTACCCTTATACTGGTACGACAGTTGAGGTTTTCTGTCTCATTATCTGCGTGATAACAAACGCTGATAGGCTATGTATCAATCATCACAACATGTGGCACAGCTATTGTTGTTCACTAGGTCATAGTTTTAGGTTATCTTTAGGGTTACATATTCTATATATAGTGCTTTATATGGAGAAATTGTATGTAGCGAGTAACAGAAATGATTTTTCTGTCAGATTTCTACTGGTAATATGAATCTATATTTCATTTCATAATTTTGAAATAATGATTGATATATCACTTGACTTTGTTTGCAAGATTTTCTGTTTTACAAATAGCTGGACATTTCTACAACTTACGTTATTGTGAAATGGAATTATTCTTCAAAAAAAAATGTACAATGGAATAATGTAGTTCATTTTACAACTGAAATTTCAGTAAATATAATCACAGTTTTCACACCGATCCTCGTCCAACTTAAACTATAAGCTATGATAATCCATGATACATTTTTGTTTTGTATCAAAGTTGGTTGGGTAACTTGAGACCGGTACCGGAATTACTGGGACACTTTTGTACACAAGTGTATCTAGATGACCCAGAGCACAGGGAGGAGGCTTAAAACAAAATCTTGTAATCACATAATGATTCAATCATTTATGAAGCGGTGAGAAATTTTGTTCTCATGATCTGTGTAGAATTGTTTTTATTTCATTAGTCATTTACGTGAAATTAAACAATAGTATATCCCTGGCAGCCTTTATGAAATCATTGTGCTATCATGAAATATACAACGGTCCCACCAACTTATCTACCAGGTCCTCCTGTGATGTGACGGCTGTAAAATATACGACCCTGTCCTAGTGTTACACCCCGGTGATACATAAAAAAGCAACTTAAGTTTGATTTTATTGAGTTTATCTAAAGTTATGGGATGATATAACCCTCTAGCCAGGGACTTCAATGAAAACAATCATAATGGTCGTAAGCGTGGGGTATAAAATGAATTTTTTCTCAAAACTTGTTCTAGATATTCTGTCCATGGATTGATGATCTAGTGACAGTGAGAAAAGGTTTTTGTTTCACTTTCAAAAGTGTTTGTTTTGAGAATGTCTCGAGTGGCAACGTTGAGAATCCAGTGGGGTAGGTTGACAAATCACTCGTTATGTACAAAACTGTCTCATGAGTTAATTTCTTTAGGTGAATTTGTTTCCAACTCTCTGTCTATGCTCATCTTTATCATCATTGTGTTTGAGAATATATCTTAAATTTGTTTGTAAACTGTGTGTACCCGAAATGGAAGTTTAAGGTATTCAAGGATTTGTGTGTTGGATCACCACATTTTGAATTTGATAGCTTTTAAGACTAGCAAATGTTCCTTGATTGCAAAACAAGTACTTGGCACATACTTTCTCTATGATAAAAAGGTCTTTGTAGTGAAATTTACTTTGTCACTATTACTTGTTCTCAAGACTTTATTTTCAAAAGTGGATTCATCAAACTTTTGAACATGAGTGTACTTTAAATTGAAGTTGAACTACACTATTGGTATCGTATCACATTTTGACTTTTCTCATTCCTCACATACTCGACCCTGATAACTGTGTTTGTATAGATAACATTGATTAAAACTGATAGCCCCTTTCACCTTTGTCACTTGGAGTGGGCCGGTGAGTTCACATCGGCTTCTTGTCTGTAATTGGGAGTGAAAATATTAAAACCTATATCTGTGGCCTGTGTCAGATATCTTTCAACAACTTTATAAATTGTCATCACATCCTGTGTTGTCTGGACTGTTTATGTACACAGCTGTCTATTGATGCCTAGTAGCGGTGGGTGAAGTGTGGGGTCAGATTATACAGGTTTTCTATGGAATGTGTAGAATTGTTGGATTATACAGGTTTTCTGTAGAATTAATTGAATTATGTCAGATTGTACAGGTTTTCTATTAACTGTATTGTCAGATTATACAGGTGTTCTATTAAATGTATTGTCATATTGTACAAGTTTTTTACTGAACATATTAATTGTGTCTGGTTAAACAGGTTTTCTATTGAATTTATTAATTGTGTCAGATTATACAGGTTTTCTATAGACTGTATCAAACTTGGTCATATTAAACAAATTTTCTATGTAAAGTGTCAAACTTGATCAGATTATACAGGTACACAGATGTCATGTTGAGTGATCTAGATATGTACAGAATTGTAGAATATATGTTGCTGAAAATGTTTAATGACAGATAACACAGTTTTCTCTGGACATTCTACTACATTTTTGGATGTACATAAAGATGATTGACCGTATATAGCCACAGTCATTATCAAAGATGGAGATTGTCTTATTTTGAGGATATTAACTTGTGGTTCCGCAAAACAAAAAAGGAAAATATTTTCAATCTTGTCACCCCTTCATATGCTTTCCGTTATGTCACAACCGTGATCAAAGGATGAAACATTCCATTGTGACATTTTAGGGGTCAGAGGTGGTCAGAATATTGTTGAAAGTCTTACTTGAAATTTAACATCTATCACGTGAGAGACAAACACTGATGTATTATGTTATTAGGACTTAACAAGCTAGACGGTATAACGTACAAACAACTACGTATTGTCTGGCCGTTTGGACTTCACCTTCAAGGAATCCAAAATAAAAATACTGCACATGCATCCTTCTGTATGCACATTTTATGATTGATTGACTTTCGGCTGTGTATGACACAGTACATGTAAATAGCGGTAACAATGACCATTCTGCCCTAATCAGGCTCCAATCTAAGTATTACACATCATACACCGTACAGTGTATAAGAATACCTGATTAAGGACTCCACAGGTAAATTTATATCATACCTGTCTAGATCTCAGGTGAGACGTCACGTCAGGTAGTGTATTCGAATTTGGAGATGTGAAATTTATACAAAATTACCATATATGGATATGACATCGCCAGTGAGAGTGCAAACACATTTACCTTGCTTCTGTTTCATGTTAATAGCCATGTAGCTGATATTTGAAAATCTTGCTGTCATGCTGTTGTCCAGTGCATTGTCCCCATTTTTATACTGAAACTGTTTTGTGTGTTTGCAGATAACAGCCAGCCGAGTCCATCACTAGGAGTCTCTGACAAGCAGAAATGGAACGCCGACACTGACGAAGATACAACGACAGAAACTGATTACAAAGTTGCTCTTAAAAGCAGCGTCAGTTGGGAAGATAAACCTGAAAAGGTTAATCTATATAGTGCAAACGTCGTCGAAGACGGTAAAACGACAGAAATTGTAGACAGGGAATCCATTGCGGATCTCGGGTCGACACGCAAACAGTGGGAGACATTGTTTCAGTCGTCGACGACATCTTCGCCAGCACCAAAACAGACACCTAAGAAAGGTTCGGTCAAACATTGGGAGGTCAAGCTTCCATACAAACCGGTGGGTGTGATCAATTCTGCCGAGCCTTCTGCAGAAGAGCCATCTAGTGAAAGCTCTAGTGAAAGAAAAATGGATGACGAATACGCAAATGAAAGTGCCATAGCTCGTGAGATTCGTCTCGCAAATGAGCGAGAGGAAATGCTTAAACGCGAGCAAGAAGAACGAATGGAACTTATGAAACGCCAGGAAGAATCAAAACAGATGCAAGCAAAAGCAACGTTTGAGGTACAGAACAACAACAACAACAACAACAACGAATTAAAGACAATGTATCATGAAATGACTGAAGCTGACCGTGGATCGGAACTTCAGCGACGGGAAATTATTATCAAGCAGGAGATTGAGGAACAACAGGAGCGCGAACAAGCTGTCAGCCAAAATGTGATCAGCGACAATGAGGTAACGTAGCGTTTTCTGTTATCATTATTTAGTGTAACAAGTCACTAACATATTCCCTCGTTAGAGATTGATACCGAGATTGATTCATTCTCAAGAGGACAGCACGTCATAATGTGTAGAAACACATTTTGTGAGCTGAAGTCTTAAAGTTAAGTCTAAATGTATGCATTTCCAGGTTAATTGACCTGTAATCCAATTTTATATGCGCCCACTGTACTAGGGAAGGGGGTTGGGGGTCAGTATTAGTGTTACCCATTTCGGTCCCGTCTCGTCCCATCCCATCCTTTATAGTTTAGGGATTTTTTGTCATGACTCTTAACAACTTCTTTTTATAACAAAGTTGAGAGTTAAAACAAAAGTCAAGTATGAAAAGGTCCCAAGGTCAACACTAAGATCACTGTCACAATTTATAAGTCAACCACAGGGACAAGGGATTCATGTCTTTCTAACATTTTCTAGTTTTAGTCTGAATTAAAACGAACTGTTTGATGTAAGGGCCTTTATTAAATAGCTGCAGTAATTTATGTAAACATTTTTCAAATTCGCACTTTACAAAATTAAATATAAACGGTGTGAAACCCTTAAAATCCATGGACCAAATTTTATCGTCAACAATATTAACTGACCAAAATACCAACTTTGATTTGAATCCAAGAAATGCATTACTGATTTCAAACCAAGAAGTGCATTACTGAGTATGTGTTAAGTTGTGTTACATTTTCCTAGCCTCAGTGTCAGCTGAAATGTCCATTTATGTCCACCCTTTATGTGGTTTAGTTCAGGCTCAAGTCGGACTTCCATAACAAAACAATGTAAAAAGTGAAGCGATCAGACAAATCCATGTTATAAAATATGTTATATGTCAAAAAGTATTAGTTATCCCCATAAGTCATAGGTGAACAGCTGATAGAATTTTCCCCATAAGCCCCACAGTCGGGATACAGATTGTGTGGCGGTAGGACTCTGTTTCACCTGACAACATCTCACCTTTCCTACCTGTTGTGTACCTGAGGAAGATGTTAGGCCTCTTGTACCTGCCAGAAGTTCAGAAACATATACCTGTGTACTTCGTCCAGGTAAATGTTGTCCTCATCAAATATTTATACCGTGTTGGACGTTAGATGGACAGGCATGGTAAGATACGCACATTTCCCTTGGGTATGTTATACACAGCGATAAGGAAATTAATAATATCAGAATCATGGGTGTGATATTGTAACTATTTGGTAAGGTCTTTTGATGATTTTGCCTTGATTTGATTTCATGTAGATTTCTGTAGCATTTTCCTAATCAATTTCATGTATATAGCTCATAATGGAGGATTTCAGTTTGGTGGGGGAAAAAGTTTCATTTTCAGAAACTGATATTTAAAATTTGTATCTGCATACAGTCATTATTAATGTATTATTAAAAGACATATTGATATGCCATCAAAGATTTTAATTTTGAAATATTCATTAGTATCATTCTTTTTTTACCCAGTGAATTTAAAGATTTATTTTTTTTATATAAAAAGAATAAACTTTTTAACACACTAAAATGTTTTGACAGAATAGGAATAAAACTAAAACCTGAATTGTTATAGAAACTTAAGAATTTTAGCATACAATTATTTTAGAGAACAACAGATAAATAAGGTTTCCTAAGTCTTAGCATTAAACTTGTGTACTAAATTCACCACACCCCTTTCCTCGCCTACGAACCATGTGACATCATCACCAGTATCAAACGAACTGAAATCATACCTGCCCTCCCGATAACCTCCCAGTTCCTAGTACGAGCCGATCATGTCTTATTTCGCCTGATTGACGACTCAACACACATCAATATTTTTGGCACGCCCAGCTAGACAACCGTTAAGACCCTCTATTCGACATTGTAACACAAAAAACGACAGCAATAAATAGTCCCATGATTACGACACGTTGACAGACGTAGCCATGTCGAAGGTATGCATGTCGGGGGAAGTTGTTTACGTAAGGCATGGCCAAATACACTGAATGTTATTTAAATTTTAATCCACTTCAAAAGAGAAAGGGGGCGTAAGCGTGGAATCACACCACTCAAATTGAAAATTCAATACGAGTGCATTCAAGATAGCTTCTCACTGACGAATAGATTGCTAGGAACGCGAGCACTTAAATTCACCATCCTGTTGGATAAGGTGTGAAAGTGTTTAGGCATTTAGTGACAGAGATTTTACATGACGATGAAGATTTCGGAGGATAGGGATATTCACACAGTGGGGATCTATGGAAATATACATCTCATGCAAAGTGGTGTTTGGACCAAAGTAAGATCAATTTCACAAACATAACTGGTGTTTAAGATTCATATAAAAATATGGCTGTGTCTCAAAAATAAGGTACAGTAGTGTAAAAAAAAATAAGTTCAAAAGTGAACTTTTATAACTAGAGTCTGCATGGGATTTAAATTTCAAAAGAAATTTTTGTAATGTAGATATTTGATTTAGTTTAGAGAAACATTGTTTTGAAATAGGGACAAATGTACTAGTGTTTTGACATAATTTATTTATGATCATGTATGGATCTAGATAAGTTTGGAAAAGTTTCATTAAAATAGACTTCTTCATTATCATTACATTTTGCATTTGTGTGCGTGTATCTGTTATGTATCTGGCCATATCCACCCTACCCAAGCCGAGTAAGTTGTAGGAAAGATACTATTGACCTATACTATGCTAATTGCTTTAGGCCAGCTGTTCAAAGCTGTGTGTCAATATGAAATTAATCTACTATGATTTTTAAGATATTTAAACAAAGACACTTCTGTAAATTCTGCTATCTGTTTTTTAAAGTTTCATCTGGTTTGATTATTGAGCGACATGTTCCTCCCTTGTTCAGCTAGAAATTCGTAAATCTATTTGTCAATATTCGTGTAACAGGTTGGGTCTTAACACTGAATGTAATCAATAAGTAGCATAGTGTTCTTTCAAATATTGCAAGCTGTTATTGGCTGTAAATATCCAAAACATTTTCCTTTCTCACCTTGTCAGGATATAATGGACTCACCCTGGTATCAAAATGGAACAGTCTATTAAATATTTTAGGGATATGATAATAAAATAATTTTTCATATAGACAACTAGTCATTACCTGAGGAATCGACGGATATTTTCTTTGTCTGCCACACTCCAGTATGGGTAAATTGGAGATGATATGTTCTACGCTGGACAAATAGAGTATTATTTGTAAAATAATTATTTGAGCGGATTGGATGCGTAATGTTACTTACATAAGTACAATCCACACGGCATGTCATTGGGATTTTGCCTGATTAACAAACATGTGGTATTATATGAAGCGCTACGGAGAGATGGTGAGAAATTCAGACATATTTTTACCTTGATTCCTGTTCTAGTTACATAAGTGAAAGTTAACTTCACATTTCTCCTAATTATTTCAGTGTTTGTTTGGAACTAAATATAATATGATTGAAAGTTCCTTCACTGACGTTTTACTTCAGTACTTGCCTGGCGTTTTGTCTGTGGTTAATAGATATTTCGACATCTACTTTTATCTACATCTTTTTCTCCCCTGTACTCTAATTCAGCAGCTTCATCCCGATCCGAACTTTGTTGATAATGTTGAGATATCCTAACGAGTGGATCGACATGCTACCAATTGTTGAAACGGTAAAAATTCCCAATTTCGTTTTTGTGTTGTAGTGTAATATTTTTGTCTGGAGATGATATTTTTAAATTTAGTCTTACAGGTTAAAAGATATTATATTGATGCTAGCAAAGTTTAATCTACCATGGTGATCACAATATAATTCTATGTAGGTACAGATATTGATTTATTTTTTATTTTGATTGACAGGAGACGGACACCACCGATGAACAGATTGATGCCACAGAGAGTGTTATAGCTCGTGAGATTCGTCTTCAGCAGGAACGCGAGGAGGAAGTTGCTCAACAGAGACAAAAAGAGGTTGCGCCACCCACCCCTGTGGCCCCTCCCCCTGTACTTTCGGAAACCGCTATAAAACCTAAGGCGACTGAGGAAGTTGAATCTGACCCACAATCAGAGATTTCATACGAGGAGGCGATCAGAGCTTACCAGCATGAAGGTGAGAGTCTCATTGCAAGGGAACTCCGTGAGACACGGGAACGTGAGGAAGAACTGCAGAAGATGAGGGAGACTTTGTCACAGACAAAAGCTGTCAAAGAGTCGCCCATCTCCAGTTCTACACAATCCGTTCAGAAAAGTACACCCATAAAATCGGAACCCGTCAAGACAAAATATTTGTCCCAAAGTGTTCAAAACAAAGTCTCTAGTCAGTCCACACCAAACAAAAGCATTCGGATAACCATGACACCGCCAGTCACGCCGCAGAATAATAGTGACGTTATTCCAGAAAAGAGTGAAACTCCTATCGAAAAAGAGATACGATTGGCCGGGGAACGAGAAAATGAACTAAGACGACAGAAAGGTTTGCCAGAAATCTCGGCTCCACGACAAAGCTTGTACAGTGACCAATCACCAGTTTCTAATGGGACTGATGTAGACGTGCTTCCAACAGTACCGTCATACAGAAACTTAAGGTCGTCCGAAAATTCTGTAACCATGAGGAATTATGGGTCAAACAGGTTACAGAAAGAACTTGAAAAACAGCGTGCTAAAGAGCTGGCTATGAAACAGGAGGGAACAATTAAGTCAACGTCGGAGGAGCATATACAAACGCCTAGATACACTGAAGAGAAGTCGGATAAACCAGTGAAACGGAACTTTAACATTCAGCGAAGAAGTATCAGTAATATGTCTAATGATTCAGAAAAAACACCTTCTGAACATTCAGATACAGATTCTCTTAAAGACATGCCAATCACCCCTGTAGGCCCGCCCAAAGAGGAGGTGCCTAACAGATTCAAACGTACCATTTCCTCTGGCTCAAATGTGTTCTCCTATAAGGAAACCACACAAAAGGCAGAGTCCAAAATTGAAAAGGAGCTCCGTGAAATGAGAGAGCGAGAAGAGGAACTAAGGTAAGTTTCCTTGTCTTTTGATGATTCATTATTACATATCAGCCAAAACTGATATAATGACCACCTCAGTACAGCAAATACCTGTCTTCAAAGACCACCTCTGTATAGCAAAAAGCTGTCTTTAAAGACCATCTCTGCATAGCAAGTAGCTGTCTTCAAAGACCACCTCTGTATAGCAAGTACCTGTCTTTAAAGACCACCTCTGCATATAAAGTACCTGTCTTTAAAGACCACCTCTGTATAGCAAGTATCTGTCTTTAAAGACGTGTTAAGTTGTGTTACATTTTCCTAGCCTCAGCCACCTCTGCATATAAAGTACCTTTCTTCAAAGACCACCTTTCTTAAGCAAGTAACTGTCTTTAAAGACCACCTCTGTATAGCAAGTACCTATCTTTAAAGACCACCTCTGTTTAGCAAGTACCTGTCTATGAAGACCACCTATGCATAGCAAGTACCTGTCTGTAACGACCACCTCTGTAAAGCAAGTACCTGTCTTTAAAGACCACCTCTGTATAGCAAGTACCTGTCTTTAAAGACCACCTCTGTATAGCAAGTACCTATCTTTAAAGGTCACATGTAGAGCAAGTACCTGTCTTCAAAGGTCACATGTAAAGCAAGTACCTGTCTTTAAATTTAAGATCACCTCTGTATAGAAAGAACCTGTATGTAAAGGTCACCTGTAGAGCAAGTACCTGTCTTTAAAGGTCACCTCTGTTTAGCAAGGACCTGTTTTTAAAAGCATTACAAGTAGTGTATTATAAAAATACTTATTTATAAACTTTTATCAAATGTACCTGCCCATAAAGGGCATGCAATTATCCTAATTTCCACTTGGTTGTAACTTGTTGGGTTTAGCCAAGGTGCATTCTGACCGAAAGACAGTGAGAATATGTAGATCAATATTTGAATTAATCAGTCATATACTGGCTGTTGTGTTGTTCTTCATAATATTTAAAATTCTGAGAGTACATCAAGAGTATTCTCATTCTCCTATTCTGACCTCACAGACTTGCATCTAAACCAGGGTGGGACAGGTTAATTATCGTCTGTTTTACATAAAAAGTAAAGCAGACAGTCAATCAGCTGACTGGTGACACGACCGAGGATTTTTACTGAGCTTAGTACAACTTGTACGTACATCTTCTTAAAGGTGTGACCATGCTAACTCCTCTGTCTGCGTGTTACATGTATATGCTTATATTGATTAAACGGAATGTTAAATCATCTCGGCTTACACGGAGACAACTGTATATTATACATACAAAAGGTTGATCTCTCCGACTCAGTGATATTTTGTCTTGAAAATTGATTTGTTGAAATATCCATATGTAATTGTATGTATAATGACTCATATCTTAAATTTGTCTTACAGACAGCAGAGAGAGCAGATCGCTGCAGCCAGAAAAGCAACGAGTCCGAGTTGAAAGGTCAAACCTTGACCTTTAACCCGAAGAAGTGAACTTTTCTCTCCAAAGGGCCTCAGTGTTCATGATATATGCAATTTACATTGTTAAATCTATCCAGTTGGAGGATTTTCTTTGATGACAGAGAAAAAAATAGCTTAGACAAGAGTTGTCAGTGCTGAGCATAATTTCAAAGCCTGGTGCTTGCCCTTGGACCTTCGATGAACTGGCTGTAAGGGTTTCTAAGCAACTGTGAAAAACCAATGGAGCAGGATATTTTCGGTATCCTCATAGACAAATTCTCAGTATTGTGTTGGGTCCCAAATAGTTCATGGGACAGTTATTTTGGTTACTTCATTTGTTAAAGATTTTGTTTCACATTTTTGGTTTTTTTAATCATGGCAATGAATTAAGTCCTTCGTGCAATGATTAAGCTTTTCTGTACATGCATTGGAACAAAGTTTTACTTTAGTAACATTTTGAATCTAGAAGATGATGTGTCGTCTGCTCATCTTTGACTTGCCGTCGGTTTGGTCGTAAAGATCCCTACAGAATGTATAACTGGTTTAAATTGTCAACAGATCTTTATTAACTCTGATCCACTCTTTGTCAATTTCAAATGTATCCCTTCAAATATTTTGAATATTTTATGGAAAAAATTATCAAAGTATGGATTATAACAGTCTTGGAAACGTTTAATCTATACCTTGTCCTGAAAAAAACACATTCAGTTTGAAACATGCATAAACTAACCTAGCCAAGGTCAAGGGTCAGATTTTAAGGTACGATTGTTTACTGGTCCTCACAGTTAAGGGTTGTTATCTCCCCTGCACATTCTACTGCTGCCATAAATAGTTGGCAATACATAGCCTCACTATGGCGACGGTAAACACTTAAAGATTTCAGCCGACTTTGCTTTACAACAAGACAAAGTGCCAAGGAGCTATTTTGGATGTTGCATACGATATGTATGTAGCAAAGCAGTGCCTAGATAAGGCGAGAAAATGGAGGCTATCTAAGTTGTTGTGTCTGCGAAGTCGTGACTAACACTGTGTGTGTCTGCGAAGTCGTGACTAACACTGTGTGTCTAGCTCATGACCTTAGTGCGTTTTGCACACTGATCATGATACAGGGATAAATTGGCCATTATTTAATCACCAGACAGGTGTTTGTAGCTAGTATAAGTCAGCTGATGACAATGGACCAGTTCTGTATTATTATTTGAGACTTTCCAATCCAGATGAGTAAAGGAGGTCAACATAAGGACTTGTATACCCAAATTTGTTGTATTGACCACCATTCAGACTCTCACCCTGATTCTCTTAAACGGTGTTGTTATAGGGGAGAATTCACAATGAACTTTTGATATTAACTTTTACAATGTTATATGCAAATCAATATTTTTGTCTAATTTCAAAAGTTATTTTACATTTATTTTATAGAATTGAAAATACAGATCAGTTGAATTAACCTCAAATTGTCAATACTATCATATGTAAAATTCAATTTAATTCACAATTTCGTTTTGTTCAATTTCTGCTTTTAGATAAGTACATATATACAATATATCCCTAAATTTAGTTGTTGTACTCTATGGCCTGGATTTATATATACATACCTACAGGACGGAAGAGACCAGATCTGATCCAGCTAGTACTGGTTATAAGGGAAACCCCAAAATATTTATCTGTGTATAGTTAAGTCACTTTTGAGATAGGAGATCCATAGATACTTTCTTGTAAACATTTCATTCATCTTGAGTGGAGAAAGTTGAAAACTGTGGGTATCAAAAGATGATCGAAATAGCCTTTTATATCCTGCAAAATTATTGAAATTTAAGAAATCATTTTAGGTATTGCTGATGAATTGCTATGACATGTACTGCAACTCTGTGAAATCAATTTTACAGTAGTTTCACATTTTCTTTTTTTGAATTTGACCTGCCTGTATATACTGATGTAAATTAAAAAATAACATACTTATCATGTTATCTTACAGAATGTTTAATTTTTCATAAATTAACATGTAAGAGAGGACAGATTTGCGCCAATTTTATTTCTTAAGTGCCTTTTTTTGTTTTTTTATTAATATCATTTCCTGGTTAAGGGGAGCTAACTCAAGTAAAGACGGAACAGATACAAACTTTTTACAGTCATACAGTAAAAATTGTTTGATTTCATCGATGTTTAATGACTATTTCGCAAATAACACATAGTTATTAGTTGAGATATTTTAGGATGGGTTTAAGTCATTCTATCTTAATGGGATGAATTCTATGATAAAATGTTTATAATATGAATTCGGCAAAGTTTCTCAAAGTTAACTGGCAATATCATAGTTCAGCCATTGTCGTACTGTGGCCATTAATCGATATAACACGATAACAAAATGTAAAATGTCTGTATATTTGTGAGTGGCATGTGTTGATATAAAGAGTTACACGTATATATGTCTCAGTTTAGTTGAAAGTGAAATGTACAAATCATTTAATGTATAAAGTGTAAAGTATGCATTAGTTCAGATGTTATATATGTGAAGGTTCGTGTGATATTATTATATCCCAGATGTGTTACGACATGACTAATCACCCTCAGAATCACAGGGGCAAGACACAATGTACAAGTATTAGGGACAAAAAATATAAACCTTATATACCCTACTACATATAAACTGTGTTTCGCCCCTGTGCTCAGAATATTAATTTGTGATAATGTGCAGTACCTAATGAAATGTGTGAAAACATATTAATATATTATTATTGGATAATAGCCTTGTATCAACAAGTACACTTAAGTCATTTACTGTTACAAACTACATATCTCGTTTAATCCTGATTATAACTTGATATTACATGTTTACAAATGTGTTACATATAATTATGATCAAATCCTGTTATTTCAAAACTTTTGTTACACACACACACAAAAGGCTAACTCAGGGGGTTTTAGATGTCCCCCCAAAATACGATCTTTGATCATTGTGTAAGCGGTTAGACTAAGAAATTACTTTGATTAAACATGGCCAATCAAGTTTTTTTCTCGAGTTTGTAATAACTGGGTTTCATTGTCTGTTTTTTTCACGTCATTGACATAATGTGAGAAGATATTTACAATGTATATTTTGGTTGATCAAATAATGTTGAATGTTTATATTGCATAAATATATTACATATTTACATATATATATATATATCAGAATAAAAGCTATCAAAATGTATTATCCTTGTTTGGTTTTACTCTCATTAAGTATTTAACGGGTTACTGTACAACACTTCTATTTCAAAGGACTTATTATGTCTCCCCTTTCAATGAAGGCAACTGGCTGTTCTGATATCATTATTCCACTGTCAAGTTTTAAACTGTTAATGATATCTTGATAAAACTTGAAGGTACCTGCATCACCAGAATCATCTTCGCTGGCCAAGGGAGACGATCCTGTCCGAGAGCGTAGCCCCTGGAGTATCGACGATCCTGTCTGAGAGCGTAGCCCCTGGAGTAGCGACGATCCTGTCAGAGAGCGTAGCCCCTGGAGTAGCAACGATCCTGTCGGAGAGCGTAGCCCCTGGAGTAGCGACGATCCTGTCAGAGTGTAGCGACGATCCTGTCAGATAGTGTAGCCCCTGGAGTAGCGACGATCCTGTCGGAGAGTGTAGCCCCTGGAGTAGCGACGATCCTGTCAGAGAGCGTAGCCCCTGGAGTAGCTACGATCCTGTCGGAGAGTGTAGCGACAATGCAACAGAAGTTGTACAGTGCACTGAACTTGGTTTACAGTAACCTTCACCCAGGTCAAAGGTCAAATAAAGTCGTACTGAAGTCTTGTCTGGGATGTGAAGTTTGACTTTTCCAGTCTGTTTTATATTGACCTTCCAATCGATCATTATCAACAAAGTTGAAAAACAAGGGACACGATCAAATTACGTTTCATAACATTTATTATTATGGGTTGTACACATACTTATTTTCTTCATCAACTTCTTTTTTAGAAAGAATATTCTTTATTTCACAAATAAACACATAACAAATGGAGGTGGGCAAATATCAATTTTAACAATATTATTTCAAACAATTTTTTCTTCAAATTTTGTAAAGAACCTTATATTTGTTTCTCTAATGCAAGCATTATTAGACTGTTGAAATTTCATTCATTTAAAATCATTTATAAATATCTTAATAAAAGCTATTCCAAAAAAAACATACCAAACATGTTTCAATAATAGTCAATAAGGGAGGTAACTCCTTCCCACCTGCACCAACGAAAATTTAATGCCATAAAACAATTATAAAATCCTAAAATACAATCATCTGAATTTCAAAAAAAAACAAAAAAACAGACTTCCACAACTCGTTTGCCTGTGTATAAATTTTCACTTGCAGAAAAATCCAAGATCCATTGCCCATTGAAACTTGGGACCGGGACTGAAATCACACTTGTTCAGTTTCACTAAGCTTTACTTTCTGGCCAATTTTTGAACCGTATCGATACCTTCAGGATTTTAAAACTTTTTACAACACAACTGACATCAGACATATATATGTACAGTTTACCCTCCAAATATTCATACATTTGACACTACGACACATGTTAATCGGAGTTTACTCAACACTGGTGAGTAATACATTTCAAAATTCTACCAGCTAGTGAAGTTTTGAAAGTGGAATGCTGCAACCTAGTCCAGGCTCCCAACTTTGCAATTTTAAAAGCAGCATGGTACTACATGTATAGATGTGTCTGTTAAGTCAAAATGTGTAAACCGGCCAGTTAATGAGCCAGCATATCTGCAGCTAGTGTCGGACACATTTTCGTCATGTAAACAGGAAATTTAAGCCTGTAAAATATATATTACATAAATAAAATATATATTACAGTGGTATCTATATTAAAAAAAAAAAAAAAAAACTTTGCCAAAGTTATGTTTCTTGTTAAAGAATAAAATATAACATACCAGTATCATTTTAATAAATTAAATATACATGTACATTTGTATATCATTTAAAAACTATATATGAAATGTATACATTTCAATACCATGTTCCTGACGAACACATGTAACAATAACTCATAAGACCATTCTTTAAAGTTTGCTGGCAGCCTGATATTTTTACAACACGTGCACAATAAATGTGTAAATATACATTTGTAAATAAATGTAAGATATGAAAATAGCACACATGTACAGCACTTTTTATCTAATTATTGCATAATGTCTGTTTTCTACGCATAAGCTCCAATAGCTTGTATTCAAATACATGTTCTTCCGATTCTTCATATGTAAATTTGAAATATATTCTTATATCTTTTCTACACACTGTACAATCTTTAAAATCAAACATGCTTTAGTTTGTATACATTGATAAAAAAAAAAACTGTTTACAGTCAGAGTGATAAGTTTATTTCTTTTAAAAATTTCGAAGTTAAAATGTAAATGCATGTTTTTTCATTAATAAAAAAAAATGTTGATTTCAACATTGAACTTAATATTTCAAATGTCAGTATTTTCCTTTTTTGTTGGGTTTGTCCATAAAAAATTTCAGAAAGGCTTTTATTTTAAAACAAAACAGATGTTCCATACAAAATTTAAAGAAAACTTGCATTAACAAACTTAACTGAACCAAGGCAAATCATAACTGTATAAATCACAACTGGTACTTTCTACCAAAGAACAACAAAAATCTAAAAAGACTTGTCATCCATAGATATCCAGATACCAACTGACAATTGGTAGTTGATAAATATGGCAATGTGGAGAGTAACAAAGGTACAGATTACACACAGTTGCCCGGTTGGGAGTTATGTTGCCATGACGTTGCTGCCCTTTGTAGATAGCTGCTGAGGAGAACGGAGGGAGGGGTGAACGAGGAGAATTTGTTCTCGACGTGTGTCCGTCGACAGTTGCCTTCATCAAAACCTATCAAATAAAGAAATGGTGTAAACAAACTTTGATATCTGGTTAAATGTATTCTTAGTTATCTGACCGTGATCTTGTCTTCAAAATCATCAAATGTTCAAATTCAAATTCAGTACTAAAGCTCATTTCCCAATGAAAGAAAGTAAGTTAAAATCTTATATGATGTTCACATATCTGACTTGATATTGTAGCCGAGTACCATTTTTATTCTAAGTGTTAACTATTAGATTCCACTGACCTTAAAGAGTTGAAATACTATTTGATCACACTTTTGTTTTATATACCTAATTTTTTTAACAGCCCGTTCCTTTATGATTTCGAAAATGTGGCATTATTTTTAATGAAATTTGAAAGATATTCCTTAGTTTTTGGTCATTTTGAGAAAAATAGGGCACTTTTTAGCTAGGGGAAACAGCTTGTATTCGGCAGTAAAACTTAGCAAAACAAATCCTTGGCACAAACCTTCAGTAGTACCATGAACACGGGCCCAGATTTAATTTTAATGAAGTGGAACTTTCACTTACTTGAGGAGGAGAGATCTAGGTACTGACAAATGGCATGGAGGAGCATTCTTTCAAAACTGGACGTCAGCTTGGACACGTAAACTGACCCCGGCCAGTCCTTGAAGAATGAGATCAAATCCTGTTCTAAACCATGAAGGATTCCCTAAAACAAATCAGAATAATTGTATATAAAATTTGCAAGGAAATATTTTGATTTCAAGTATAACAATGTCAATAACTTTAATATTTTGTGCAACAAAAGCATTGTCTGTACATCTACAATGTAGTCAAACAAAAGCATTGTCTGTACATCTACAATGTAGTCAAACAAAAGCATTGTCTGTACATCTACAATGTAGTCAAACACAAGCATTGTTTGTACATCTACAATGTAGTCAAACAAAAGCATTGTTTGTACATCTACAATGTAGTCAAACAAAAGCATTGTTTGCACATCTACAATGTAGTCAAACACAAGCATTGTCTGTACATCTACAATGTAGTCAAACACAAGCATTGTCTGTACATCTACAATGTAGTCAAACACAAGCATTGTTTGTACATCTACAATGTAGTCAAACAAAAGCATTGTTTGTACATCTACAATGTAGTTGTACAAGGTCAAACACAAGCATTACTGTTTTTCATTTTCTTTCCAAAAATAGTTACATACCAGGGCCCAGTTTTATAAAACATCTCAAAGTTAAGGAAAATCTCAAGCAATGTATTGTCTATGGAAATTCTAAGACTTGAGGAAATCTCAAGAGTTGAGATGTTTTATACAAGTAGGCCCTGTTTGTAGGTAGAATTTTTGTATTTTTCAAGAAATTCTCTCTACCATGCTCATTAATAAGGAATTATATTTTTTTAAATGTGTTTAAAATCAGGATCCTGTTTCAATTGGACAGTAAATGCTTAATCTTCTCCACACATTTTTCGGCATTCAAATTTATTTTTCATCAAGGTGTTATCTCCCTTTCATCAGTGATAAGGTGCATCAAAATTTGAAGTGTCTGCCTGTTTTGTTTATCTATGAAAAAGTTCGGCAGACCTGCAAATCTTGATCACTAATTCCATTCCATTTCATAAATGGCAGCTCTGATCCAATGTTTGGTACAGAAATAAACAAAAGCAGTCATGGCTTGGTGCCATGAATACAGGGCAAGAATAACCTCAAAAGGTTTCATATTATTCAATCAATGCTGCAGATAAAAAGATTCCAGTATTAATTAAAACCTTGTCACAATAATACTGTTATCATACCAGAAAATGTCTGAAATATTTAATAAGTGCCCTGCAACATTATTTTTCAAAATTGCAATATCGGGAACTGGATGAATATACCTACCACAGGAATATTTCTTCGTTTGAGAAAAAGTCTGATGTTCCTGTCAAGTCTTTGATAACACTCTTCTGGGGTAAAGGCTGGATGAACTAAAAATAAAAACGTTTCTATATAGTGTATATATATTAACTCAACAAGTACAAATCAGCGGTAAGGGTCAGTCCAGTAAAAGGTTAAGGTCATTTGCACAAGAAACTGTTCCAATTTGGTAGCACAGTCCAAGTAATTTTTATAAAATTCAAGTCACTTAAATATTTATTTTCTATCTTTAATGTGTATGATCAGTCAAGCATCTGAGAGTGCAATATAAGTTAATGTCAGCCAGATATAAATTTTGTAGCAGTACTTGTAAAAACATTGTTGACTAGCTAGGTGTTTTAGGTTAATTTCCAAGGGGGTTTAACGTCATTGTGCTAATTTTTGGTTAGTTTAGCCATATAGACACTTTGTTTTCTTTTAAACAAAAGAAAAAACATAATTCAATACATTTTGTACTTATACTACTCATCATTCTCCCAACTGATATTAGAATGCTATATTTTTTCATGATTACTCATTGTGGTTGTCTACTTACAGATGTAATTTGTAAAGTAATTTAAAACAAAAGTGATCGGGTTTTTAAATCATAATTAATCTTTAGAAATTTATAAATAATTGCTAAAACTATTAATTAGAAAAAGAAATGTCATGAAACGAGAATGAAAAAAAGTAGATTTCATTTTTGTGATCTTTCAAAACGTTTTCGAAATCTTGTTACCTAAAATGATTTAATACTATTTAAAACATAATAACCATTTGATCTTTTTTTTAGTATGGACTTAATTAACAATTAACACCTTTCTTAAAACTTTAAATTACTCAAATTGATTACAAAAGCAAAACAAAATTAAAACATTAAAGGCTAATATGTTTACAGAATCAATGTATCACTCATTCAAGAAAACAACATGCTTAACCATTCAAGCAAACATACCTTAGGTGTAAACAGACACTGGAGGTGTTTTAGTTGTGGAGGATTTTAGCCCAGACACAGGGGACTGACCCAGACAACTTTTCTTTGTGTTTTAAAATCAGGACAATTGATGACCACAATTTTACCTCTTTTCAAATTTCAATATGATGAAACTCAAATTTACCTCATATGAAATGAGGCTGACCTTTCAAGTAAACCCTACTTTGAAATCAAGGTAAAGGAAGGGTAGTTGATAGTGACCTAGCAGGGGAGAGCACCCTGAAAAATAGCCACCATAACGTACCCGCCCTGTTATCTGGTATCTCCTCCCAACTGTTATCGAGATCTTTGTTGTCATTTCTGTTTTCTGTACGTTTTTCTTTGCTATTCACTGCAATTCTTCCTTTTTCCTGCAGAATTCGGCCCTGCTCTTCCTCCGAGCTGTTCATGAAATCTTTCCACACCTAGGGATAATAAAGCAATTTTCATATTAAGGTTAATCAGTCATGTTCTCTTTTCTCTTATTTTCTTCCTTTATTTTTAACGTGACTTTCTAAAAGCAAGTTTCATCATTTTTCTTTCACATGTAGACATTTTATATTTGGAGAATTTTGTCACAGGCTGCCCTACAATAAGCCTGTTAACTCATTCAGCCCAGAAGACACATTTGAACTCTTCCAATTCAAAGGTTGGAAGAGTTCATCATGAAATTTCAGGGGTGAATGAGTTAAGGAGCTCTCCACCAGTTCTAGGAGCAAAGTAAACTTTATTTCAGTTTCTTAGCCCTTTCACCACTGTAGACCATAATGGACTCATCCATATCAATGGACTCATCCATATCAATGCATGGTAGTCTACTAAGGTTACATAAGAGTGAAAGGGTTAAACACTACCGTAAATATTTGCATAAAGTGTGCAATTTTTTTTAGAGGAAAATGATAATATCGAAAGGGGGGGACACTATACAGGGGAACAATCCAAACCCTGTCCTGGGTCACAGCCATTTATCATATTTTTAATATGGCTTTTCTGGGATATATTGATAAAAAGAATGTCTGAACTCATATTTTGATCAAGGTGCTGAACTACATAACCAACCTTCATTTTTTCAGGCTCCATAAAGAGTTCTGCAAACGCTGATATACTGGGCTCGCCCACCTCCATGCTCAGTTCCAGGTCGTCTTCCTTCTCCACCAAGTTCAGAAGATACTTCACTGAAATTTCAGAATGAATGTAGATGTATCAGTAAAATATTCAAATTTCACATGCATATATATAAGTTAATTCCATTTACCAAAAAAAAAGTAAAAACAATTTATGTGACTCAAATATTCATCTGCATTTTTTTCCTTCATTTTTAAATACCAAAATATGAAAATATTGAACATAATTCCAGATTTGTATATGCAAAATCTTTATCTTCATAATTTTAAGTTGTTTGCTTCAAAAAAGCTCTATACCAAAAAAATATGGAAATAGTAATTCAAAAGTGTTTGCAGCATTTAGATGAACACATGCTTTCTGGTCTTTATTATTGTACTCACAGTTTTCTCCTCTCCTTGACCTCTTGACCCCGGTCTTCCTACTGGAGCCTTGATAACCATTGTCTGTTTGCAGGTTGCTTAGTCTCATTGTGTTTTTATTTAATGGTTTCCGTTGATGCTTCAAATTGTTCGCCAGCACCTCTTCTCTGACATCATTATCCAAATTTCTGGAAAATAAAATCCATTTATCAGTAAGGTACTTATAGTTTAGCTTTGACTAAATTTTCTGATATTGAAAAAACTTTATTTGTGTGACCTGTTGTCACTGCAAAACAATGATTTTTTTTCTTTCCCATCTAATGTAACAGACCAAATTACCCAAAAATATCAAGTTGTATGCATGTATACAGAAATTACTATTATATGTATTTCAGTATTTTCAGACCTTAGATATGTTTAAATATAACCTCAATGTTTTAACCATACCTTCCGACTCCATTTACTTATTACCCCTAGTAAAGTCCCCCCCCCCCCCTCCCAAAGTCAGGATACTACCCACTGTACATTTAGATAATTATTGTTAAAGATCAACATTTAGCTTGGACGTTTTTTTATAGAATAGACTAGTAAACAGGGTTTTTTTCCCATCTAGGCTATTATATATATTGATATAGCGTCAAACTCCTTTGGTCAACCTATCCAAACAGTGCTAGAGGTTTACACAGTGAGATACTCTTCACAGGTGCTGCCTCGACAAAATTGTATCCGATAGAAAAAAGGCTGCTGGTCGGCCTCTTATGTTATAGGAGTGGTGGTCACCCTTCCAATTGTTTAAACTTATTTGCCCGATTCGTGCCAAAATACAACTGATGTGATGAACGTCGTGTTTCAGAAAGCTAAGCAGTAAATGTACTGTACCTGTGTTACTTCACTCAAGCACTCTGATTTGATGCAATGAATTTAATGATCAGCCCAAACTTATTTCTTTCCTCTGGCCCTAAAACCAGACTTAAGACATTTTGATGTATAGATGTCTGGTGTGGGGCCAGCGCGCACTGCTATATGAAAACGTGGAATTCCCACACCAAACATCTATAGGCCTATATTAGCATATATGTCAAAATGTCTAAGTCTGGTGTTAGGGCCAGATGGGTTAGGCTAGGATGGGTTATTTAAAGTGGGATTTTCCAAGCTCAAATGGGTGAGGCTATCTAAAATACACTTCTAGCACTACAGAGACGCCCAAAGTAAAACCCAGAGGCTTTTCACAATGCAAGTGATCATGATCTTCCAGCAAATCCTGCGACACCTTACTTGCATTGACACGTCAGGTGACAAAACGCTGCATGAGTGATGATTTCTTTAACATGGTTACCCTCGTCAATGTTACTTAGTTTCATATTTATATACAAGTTACACAATAAAAAGTTAACTACAAACAAAGACGTATCAAGTATGTCATAACAAATTTAGTTTGTAGCACAATGGCGCATATGGGTAATAATCCTGCATTTGGGTAACAGTTACCCATTTGAGTACGGTAACAATTTTATTACTGAAATGGGGAATAAAGTGAAATAAAAATACCCAAAGTACTTTTAAACACTTGGACCAAAAAAGGGCGATTTTCTTTCAACTTAATCCAATAAATAAAACAATGATGTACATTTGTGCATAAAAAATTATCAATTCTGATGTCGAAGTTTTAGAGAAAATGACAAACCATATCACTGACCTAGTTCTCCATTGACTTCAGAGTGTAGGGACTATCCAGTGCAAATGCAGGTATAAGCATGATTTTTTCTGTGTGCTATTTAAAGCTACTCTACAACACACTATAAGCAATGGAGGTGATATAACTTGTCATGTTGACAAAAATTTAGACAACTGAATTAACATATTTTTATGCACAATTGTACCGTATTGTGATAAAAAAAAAATATTATGTTGAAAGAATGACGCCCTTTTTGTTTATAATGTATAAAAGAACTTTGTGTGTTTTTATTTTCACTTTATTCCCCATATCAGTAATAAAATTGTTACTCGAATGGGTAACTGTTACCCAAATGCAGGAGTACCCAACCTGCTCATCACTACTGACAGTACTGTAGTGTAGAGATATGTCAAAAGAATACCCTACACAAAATGACCGCCAAATTGGCGTTCACTTTCTTGCAAATTTGAAGTCAAAAACTTACTCTAAGTCGTCGCCAGAACTTTCATATGAAAATATATTCGTTTCGTCACGTAGCACACCCATCTTGAATCTTAACGAGAGCCTGGATCAAACGCAGACAGTCAATGAAGCTCTGCGCGTACAGGTATCAGGGCAACGAAACGTCAAATATCCCGAAAACGAGGCTGCCACAACATTGCAAAAAGTGACGAAATTATCATTGGGTAGATACAATTTTCGGAATGAAAAGAAACGTATCAAGTTTGTTACATTTTTTTTTTTATTATACGTTAACTAGATTTCAGTAAAGAATTTTGAAATATCAAAATCTCTCTATCGTTTACAACTTTTACGTCCATTGTAAATACTTGACAATGTTATTCTTCAAAAGTGAGGGGCTCTCACTGTAACGTCATATTTAGAATTACTTTCACATATATATATTATATATATAGTACTGTGTAAGTGATAAGGCACATAGATTCTCATTTTTATTATGCTGTATTTATAGCCCTCCTGACTCTCGTGATGGTTATTGGCAAAAGTTTGATGATCTTGTTGACAACCGAGTTACCTAATTAATAAAAAAAAATCTAGTTATCACAGGTGATATCAATCAAGATATGCTTACTCTACATCCTAACTCACACCTTGCTAGAACTCTTACAAAATTTCACTTAAATTATGTTGTTCAACCCCCTACACGAATTACCAATACAACCTCATCCTGTATAGATATATTTTATGTTAATAATTTGAACATTGTACAGAGTACAGAAGTGTTGGCTCCATTATGTAATTGTTTTAAACTTCAGTTTTCAAAGAGAGATCTTCCAAGAAAACTATTTACAAATTTAAGAAAGCCAGATAGGACTTAATTAATGAAAGTCTTCAATCTGAAGACTGGGAGTCAATTTTAGGTGAAAATAATGATGTTGATGAAATAAATAATTTAATTATTGATAAAATAAAAACACTGACGGACATTCACATCCCCTTCAAGACAAATAGAATCCGCCCGAATTGCAAACCCTGGATGACAAATTTAATAAGGTCTAATTTGAGAAAGAAAAACAGATTACATAGAAAAGCAAAAAATACTAATAAGGATAGTGACTGGCTCAAATTTAGAAATAAACGTAATGAAATCATTGACTTAATCAGAAAACCAAAAGACGATTACCTTAAGAAATTACAGAATTCCTTATCAGATAAGACAGTACCTCCAGGTAAGTGGTGGCGTATAGCTAAATCAATAAGTAATATGTCTAACTCTACTTATGTCTCTCATCCACTACGAGTTGGTGGTAACGTAATGATTCATCCTATTGACAAAGCTGTAGCATTTACAAAAGATATGCTTCCATTTCTAACTCTATTGATGATAGTACTAACACTTCCGATACAGAATTACCTCCCCTTAGTCATCTTGAATTTAGGGATCAAATATCAATGATCAAAGTCAATAAACCAGCTGGACCATATACTCTGTCACCCATTATTGTAAAATATCTCATACCTTCCCTTGTGTTACCACTAAAAATATTGTTTCAAAAAACTATTACTCTTGGAAAGATACCCTTAACATGGAAATTGTCTAATATAAATGCACTATATAAAGATAAAGGAGGAATGGAAGATCCTAGTAACTAGAGACCTATTGCCATAACTTCTTGTTGTATTATAGGAAAAAAAAATTCTTAAAGTATGTATTTATTCATGTTACTAAATATCATATAATAAGTGAACATCAATCTGGATTTCAACGTGGTGATTCAGCAGTTAACCAATTACTATCCCTGTATAATTTTATCTCAAAAACTCTTGATGAAGGAAAAGACATTAGACTTGTATTTTGTGACATCAGTAAGGCCGTTGACAGAGTATGGCACATTAAGAAATATGGAGTTAAGGGAAAGTATATCTGTCGGATAGGAAACAACGAGTGATTTTTGAAGGGTGTTCTTCTAGTTTCAAAAATATTACTGCCGGTGTTCCTCAAGGGTCTACACTTGGCCCCTTTCTTTTCTTACTTCTCATTAATGATATAACAAATGAAATTCTTACTCATATTACATTATTTTTGATGACACGTCATTACATGTAATTGTTGATGAAGATGTGGTTACTCCATGCATGGATCTGAATGAAAATCTTGACTCTATTAGAAATTGGGCTAACCAATGGAAAATTAAATTTAATCCAGATAAAACTGTGGCATTAACTGTTACAAAATAGACGTAATCATCCTCCACTTCTCTTTGACAGTCAAATAGTAAACGAAATAACTAATCATAATCACTTAGGTCTTTTATTCAATTCCAAATGTTCATGGAGTAAGCGTGCAAAAGATTGAATATTTTACGAACATTCAAATACAAAGTTGACAGAAATGCTTTAATTACACTGTATTGTTCTTATGTAAGACCTATTATTTTGTTTGTAGATGTTGTTTGGAACAATTGTACTATTGGTGAAGCTAAATTATTAGAATCTGTACAAATCGAGGCCATGAAAATAATACCTGGATTACGAAGTGGAACATCACATCAGAAACGATATATACTGAAACTGGTTTTGAACTGCTCTCTTCTAGGCGTCATAAGCACAGACTTATTTTAATGTTTAAAATCTTAAATCATATAGCACCTGAATATTTATATGACATTGTTAAACCTTATATTAATGATGCTGTTCCACCTCATAATCTTAGACAACACAGATTATTTAATATTCCTCGCTTTAGATCTAATTATTTGGCAATAGGTTTTTTTCCAGATGTCCTGAGAATATGGAACTCTCTTGATCCTGAAACAATCTCAGCACCATCATTACATATATTCAAATCCAAATTGAATAATGAAATAATTATTATTCCTGTTTTTCTAAAATGTAGCCCTAGAAAGTTAAATGTTATCCTCTGCCAACTTAGAAATAATGCTAGTGACTTAAACTATGATAAATGTGCTGACCATCTATCACCTGATTCTTCCTGTTCATGCGGTCATCCAATTGAATTTTTTTACCCCTCATCTTCTTTTTGTCCAAATTACTCTAATTCCAGAAACTCATTTAAATAGCCAACTCTGGTATAGATGTCATGAATTGTTCATCTTTTGAAATCTGGAATTATATTTTCTATTGTTGAAAAGTATATTATTGCATCTAAACGGTTAGGATGATGTAATTAAATGTTTAAATATTATCAAACCATTATATATGCTTTTCTGCATGTATATGTAATTAAATAACTTATTTTCTGTTTTTAACTTAACTCCAACATAATTTTTGATAGTTGCTAGTCAATTTAGATAATATTATCATATAGTGAATGAGTATTGACATGAGCGTGAATTTAGATAAGACATGAGCGTGTAAAGAGAGTAAGTTGTTAATTGTATAATACAGTAATATAAATAGCATATTAATTACATATATGTTATGCCTAGCCTGTTATCTTATCCATTTATATAATTATGTTAAATATATATATAATGTCATATTAACACCATCATGGAGAAGATTGATATAGGCCTAGCCTGTTATCTTATCCATTTATATATGTTAAATATATAATAATAAAATGAAATAGAATCTCATTGTGAATTTCGTAGCTGAAGAATTTTTCCTCGTAAAAAGTATAATTGTTCAAACTCGTGTCATCTGTATTAGAGACGTATGTCTATAATAATTAATGCTAGATAATATTTATAATGGCTGTATACCATGTCTCTGTGTAGATCTATATGACATTATATGTCTCGCCTGTCTAGCTCTGTATTCAATTTTTTACCTAAATTCCAAAGCGAAATCAAACCGTCAAGATACTTACCATCATATGGCATTGTCAGTATATCGTTCATTCTCACTTATCATGCGCCAATACATATACAAAATGCATAGTAAAAGTGGAAAACGAACTTTGCATTGCGAACATTCCGTCTTAAACTTATTTACATTCTATTTATCCTTATCATCAATACTTATTGGCGTTATAAATCAGCAATTCTACTGCATGATAATAAAAATAACAATAATAATTCGAGGTTCTCATATAACGTAGGTCGTCTCAAAGCGGTTCACAAATTATTATCCGCGGTTATGGCCTTTGCAACTAGTCAATATCTTTCTCGACTCCCTGGGGAGCATACAGCCGGTGCTGCCATTTCGGCGCTCACAGTTGGCATTCAACAACTCTAGCACTGCCCAACCACGTACGTAGATACATAATAGGCACGCCTCGCACACCTCGCATCACGCCTCGCATGCTTCGCATCATGCCTCGCACACCTCGCATCACACCTCACATGCCTCGCATCATGCATTGCATCACGCCTCGCACGCCTCTCACATCTTCACACACATAACGATGCATGAGACAACCGTTAAACGAATGGGAAGTCCTATATAAACCAGCAATGAACATTGGATTCCAGTCGATATCGTTCATGGCACAGGCACACATCGACCTCGTCAAGAGAGAAGACATTACCATCGACGAAGTCACATCTAATAAGATTTTCTGTCGCTTAGGACTAGATCAAGAATTCATAGTGAAGATGAAAGGTGATATCAAGATGTATATCAAAGACCAAAACAAGACTGTATGTTTGAAGGGTACATTGTTTAAAAAGCTATTGTTCTTACCGAAAGCCTAGCTTCAGTGTGTATGTTCCTTTCTAGAAAGTGAAAATGTCTTATGAGTTTGATAGCATCCGACATAGCGTAAACGTCATACAGCCACGTCATCCATCACTGGTGTAGTGTTGCAATCGCGTGGATACGTTCATACATTGGCCTAAACATCATCATCATTCTCCATATCAACTTGCAAGTAACGGATTTTTCTATACGGGTATTGAAGACTGTGTCACATGTTTCTTGTGCAACGTTTCGCTAAAACATTGGAACTTTTCGATGATATCAAAACAGCACGCGACGTGGTCAAAGGACTGTCTTTTTCAACATATGATGTTTGTCTTATAAACATGAAAGGGGTAGATTTGTTATTTCGGCGATGAAAGTTGTAGTTAATCGGTATGCAGACAGTACAAGGTACTTGCATATAACATTTGAACATATACGCGCTGAAGTAATGGATTTAAACACAGACTTGTTTGATAAAAGACTGCAAAACTATTTGGTTAAAAAAACCCGAAGAAAAGGCCTATCGGAGAATTATAAAAAATCTGCTATGTCTA